CCCCAAAACCCCAAAACCCCAAAACCCCATAAAGTAGAATTTAAGGCATGTTGTCGAAGAACGGATGAATAAATTACAGATATTTAAATTATAAAATTTTAAACCCAATAATTATTAGAGAAACTCAACCAAACTATTTTTAATTATAATTGACTAATGATGCAAGATAAATCTCCATTAAATCAAAGCAAAGTCTACATATCATCTTAAGTTGACAAAGAATAGATTACTTTATCTCAAAGTGACTCTATTTAAGATTAAAAGGAACAAAATAATTTAGAAAATTCTATGAGACCTTTAATGGAATTACTTGAGGAGGAAGATAGCAATGACCTAGATGACAATAATGATAGTTAAAATTTTGAAATTTAAAGAGGAAAGTTCGAAAAGGGACACAAAGAAAGAGTTCAGCTTAATAAGTATTTAGATGATGAATAGGATATCACTTTAAATGATCTTACAAGTGAGCCTGATGTTAGCATGATGACTTTTAAGCAAATGTATAATAAAAATCCAGCAGTTTTACATAATAAGCTATTCGAAGATGATTATCATTATAATAAATAGGAGAGCAAGAAAGTTGTCTTTGAGGTCGAGTAATTGGATAAATCATCAAGAAAAAGTGATCCTTTTAATTCTTAAAGAGAACTTTTAGAATTCAGTGAAACTTGAAGAACTTCTATCCTAAAGAATTCAGTTCAATAAAATGATTAATCAAAAAATAACTTGCAAGGAAGGAGAATTTTGGAAAAGAAATATAATTCAAATTAAATTAGTAACTTTGAGATTAATCAATCAGATATCGATCAATAAAAACTTATGGTCTAAGATCAGCTTTAAACTTAAGGAATTAAACGTAGTAGAAAGCGTTCAATATCATTGAGAAATTAATAAGAACTTCAAGAAATGAGAGAGAAATTACAAAAGTAACATCAAAAGTCAAATTTGCTGTAAAAACTAAATATTAAATTAATTAGACCTTTTAACCTTAGAGAAATCGACAATTTATAGCAATTTAAAGTTTCTCAATGGGGATGCAATTACTTTTCTGAATAGTTTATGAATTCTAAAGATCATACAAAGAGAGAAGATGAGAAGACTGAGTTAGAAAAGCTCAATGATGAGTTAAAAGTTGAAGGATAGATAAAAAACGGAATTTTCGATAATTTTTTCTCCTTTTTCAGGCCATCATTCATTAGTTAAACTATGATGGTTAGTGAAAATAGATTAAGTTAGAATGATGAGCATTCAATTAGGAAATTACCAACCTCTGAGGAAGTATGTATTAAGGAGAAATCAAGGCATTGTGAGAAAAAGAAAATAAGTGAAGAGATTTTTTTCAAAACTGACTTCTTTTAAAATGAACTACAATTTAAATTTTCAAGAACACACAAGGGACTACCCAGAAAGAAATTCCTTATTTACCCTGATAGTGCTTTTAAGATCAGATGGGATCTCTTGATTACTATGTATTATATTTAATATATTTTATTTTTTAGGTTGCTTCTATACACGTGTATTCAATGTCCATACTCAATTGCATTTCTGGATAATCCAGGCAATATATGGATAATAGTAAATGCTATTGTAGATTTCTTGTTCCTTGTAGATGTAGCAGTTAATTTTTTCTCAGCATTCTATGATAAGGAGCTTGAATTAATTGATGATAAAAAAGTAATAGCTAAAAGCTACATAAGCTCTTGGTTTGCTATTGACTTTTTATCCATTATTCCGTTCGACATGCTATATGATACAAGTGGATTTAACAGAATGTCTAGAGTTGTGAGAATAGGAAAAATCTACAAAATAGTAAAAATGACTAGGATGGTGAGAATGCTGAAAATTGTAAAGGAGAGAAATAAGTTTGTCAAGTATCTGAACTAGGCACTCTAAATTGGAATAGGATTCGAGAGACTAATATTTTTGCTCATAATATTCTTGGTTATGTGCCATGTTACTGCTTGTCTTTGGTAAAATATTTTCTATTTAAGTTATTAGGATTTTTACAGCAAGCTTTGATTAATCAGGATAGAACTGGATTACTTAAAATGGATATGAGGATTCTGATAATTACACTATTTACATAACTTCTTTCTATTTTACGGTTACTACGATTGTAACTGTAGGTTATGGCGACATCCATGCTTACAGTATAGGTGAAAAATACATGTCTATTATTCTCATGATTATCGGAGTAATCTCTTTTTCATTCGCAACAGGAGCTCTTTCAAATATTATTTCAAATTATGATGCATCTCAAGCTTAGTTAAAAGAAAAAATGGCTACTCTAAACGATATAAGGACTAAATACTTGATTGATCCTGAACTTTTTGATGAATTAAGAAAAACTATAAAATACGATCATAGTAAAAACTTTCATGATGTGACTAAATTCATGAATGAATTACCTTATAAACTAAAAATTGAACTCGCTCTTGAAATACACAAAGATATATACAGAGAGATTGAATTCTTCAAAAAACAAGATAAAAACTTCATCGTATGGGTATGCCCACTACTTAGGCCATTCTTAGTTTCAGAATAAGATTATATCTATAAAGAAGGCGATGATATAAAGGAAAGTAAGATATAGTTTTTAATTTCAAATTATTTAGTTTATTTTCTCGAAAAAGGAGTTGCAGGCTACGTTATTCCGAGATTTGACAACACTGTTTATATCTAGATAGATAAGGGTGACCACTTTGGAGAACTTGACCTTGTATACGATCCTAAAATACTAAGCTTAACAATCAATATCAAGAAAAAAGCTTAAAAGAATAAGGACATATTTAGAAGATTCTCAGTTCAAGCGATAATAAACTGTGAACTGCTTATTCTAACTTTAGACGATATCGATAAGATGAAATTAGAATTTCCTGAGGTATTCGACGACCTCTTTAATAACAGTCTCAAAAGATTAGAAAAAGTTCTCAAACTTAAAATTGATGCAGTTGAGTAATGTGAGTCAGTTGCTATTAAGAACATTAATATGTAGAATAGAAGATTTTCTGTATTTACTAGACTCTAACAAGCAATGAGTAAAGAAAATGACAAAAGATCAGAGTACATATAGTAGTACAAAACTTAAAGATTAAAGAGAAATTTAACCATCTCAGATGTTTAATAGATTGCGAATTTTTCAACGAATAAAGCTTCATTGAAACAAATTGATGAAGAAATAGAAAGTTAGGAATCATCTGATGAGAGTTCAAGTTCTAATTCATTGAATGATGATGATGAAAATGAGGAGATGAAAAGTGATTTACATTTTAACCAAACCATAAGAGACAAATCTATAATAATTGACAAAAAGAAGAAAAAAATGAGGAAATCAGTTACTAGAGATGATGTTACAAATAACGAGATCGATAATCTTTATGGCAATAAAAAGGTGAGTAAAAAGAATAAATCAATAATGGAAGAGAGTAGCAGTGATAGCAAAAGTGTTACATCAGAGGAAAGCTATACCTTTAAAGAATCAAAGTCAAAATCTCAAAAAAGCTAAAAGAGTGCTATCAGAAAATAGATGAGGAAAAAGATTAGCCACATATTTTCAAGACATAAAATGTCAGTAAGTATAAACTCAATGGCGACATTTAAAGAGTAGCTTGATAAATAAAGAAAACATGCTTTGAATCTTAATAAAAGAGTAGATGATATTGAAGGGATGATGAAATAGATGATGGGCCATATGATTTTTATGAAGGATTCAATTATTGAAATAAAAGATCATATAAAAGGAGAATAATGAATATAAAATTGAAATTAAGAAAGAATTAGTATAACTAGAATTTGATATTTATTTTAAAATTTTGCAGAAGATAATATTGTAGTGGAATTCAGGGGTTTTGGGGTTTTGGGG